CATAGTGTAGCAATTTACACTACAACGTTAACTGCTTTTCGTTTAACCACTATCCAACAGACTTTTCTGGTATGGTAGGACGTCGAGGGAACAAGCGTTCCACCAGCATAGCTCGTTGGGTCATTGCGATATACAAGCCCGACTACCACGTCAAGGTAGCAGCTATCGGTCGGGCCCCGACCCAGGCAGCCTATACGGATCAGACTTTGTGGACTGGTTTCATATCTGGGACTGGCCATTTTCGGGCTTTAAATCTAATCATACTTCGGTCAACATCCCACGTCTAGGTAGGTGGTGGTTCGGTACGCTGAGTACGTATTTAAGCCAATTCGGTCGGTGAAGGTTCTCAATGTCATCAACTGCCTTACTTTTTGCTTTATGCCCTACACCTCACTTTGCCTTACTTAAGCTTGTGCAAACTGCATTCCAAAAAAAATTTAAAATATTTGGCATAAACTACCAAATAAAGATTCAATCCTACCGTGACTTTTTTAAAATATATAAAACAATACATGCACGCTTCTATAAGCACCAGTTTCACCAACTCCGAGACCGGGTATAAATGACCAGTACGAGTTTTCAAAAAACATATCTTAGCGCTACCATACTCATATCTTAAAGCTGTTTTGAAACATTAAAAAAATGATGCCTTATTTGATTACGTCCTACCCACCACTGTTTTAAGCTTTAGTCTAACAAGTGAAAACTGGTAGTTCGCTCATAAATAATGACGTAAGTGAAACCAGTATTACCCTCGAGAGGAAAATCATATCGTTTCTACTAGTAACTTTCATTGTAATAAAATTAATTAATAGTAAATACGAGGCGGTTTTATAATGAACAATGAGAAAAAAGAGAATTATCAAATTTGGGCTTAGAAGCTACCGTTTGAATGTAATGGGAAATCTTAACCATATTTTTTCTTACTTTGCTTTTATTTGAGTAAAGACAATATGACATTGAGTCATGGACAAGCTGCTGAAATGATAAAAGGAGAGTAAAAGAACTCATTTAAATAGACACTTACCAAAAGACTACGTGTTTCTTTAGAATCTAGTGGAACTGATGGATTGACCCATAAAGTCAATGTTGAACCTCGCATACAAGTACATCAGCTCAAATTACCACACTTCACAGTAGTACACAAAGAAAAGGGGGATAGAAAAAGTGATATCAAAGTAGATAAAGTTGTATAAGAGAATAAACAAACTGAAGATAACGGTTAGTGCGAATATTCAAGCTTTAGGTGTTTAAGGAGTGAATACATCTGCGCCAATGTGATCGATTTTCAGCCTTCACCAACCAACCACTGATTCCTTTCGTCTCGACAACCCCAACTACACAGTCTACATCTCCCCACACACATCAGACCAACAGTCAGAGCCTTCATCGACTGGTCCCAGGTCTTGGTTTGGTCACCCTGAGCCCTATCCCAACCTAATCCAACTTCTCCTAGCATGGCACGTCGAAATGTGCGGTGACTCGGCATGCCCAGCACATGTCCAAGTCATCTCACCCGATGAAGGTTTACAACTTCATCAATCGACTTTACTGTCTTGTCCAGCATCCTTCACCCGACCTCAGGATTGCTCACACGGTGATCCCATCAAACGCGAGTAATGCTACGAAGACATTTGTGATCGAAACCCAGTAATCGTCTAGTGTCTTCTACTTCCAACGGCCATGTCTCACAGTAGTACAACAGAATAGAAAAGACTGCAGCGCAGTATACTCGTCCTTTGATTGATAGTCACATATCTCGCCAGTTGGCACCACAGGTGATACAAGTTGGCAAATGTCAAATGATCCTCCTGTATACCACCTGAGATTTCACCAACAAACAACCCGTTCAGGCTGATGTAAATCCCCAAGTGAAGTGGTCGACACATCCCGCCACTTCACTCCTTATCATTAAACTAGGAGTGGTTGTAGCAGACCAGTCCTGGAGCATCCTCTTACATTTGACAGGTGCCAGCGTGAAGCACGCCAAACATACTCAAATCTCTGCACAATGCATTCAGGAGACCCTGCATTTTGTCAGCCTCATCTAGCAGGACAGCATCGTCTACATACTTCAAGTCAACCAGATGACCTCTAGGGAGTGGATCAATCCCTGTGAAATAGGACGTACCTAAGGTTATATCCATTAGTATGTCTATGACGAAGTTAAATAGGAACGGTGACAGTAAGCACCTATGGCAGACACCACAAGTTGTCGTCGACTCACGTGACAACTCTCCATAAGCTCTGATACAGTTGTGTGAGTTGGAGTAGACAGCTCTCGTTGACGGTGTATACTTGCTCGGTACTCCATTCACAGTCAGACTTCCACAACACCTCATGGTCGACTGAGTCAAATGCCGTCTTTAGATCAAGAAATATGGCAATTGACAGCCGCCTGTAGTTATTTCTGTGTTCCAGACCCTGTTAGAAGATAAGAATATGATCGATGCATACTTATAGGTCTGAAACCTGTCTGGTTTTCTCAGGTTTGCTGTTCTCGATCTGCACTTAGGCGTCGGATAAACATGGACCCTGAAATCTTGGAAATGATATTAGTCAAACTAATTCCTCTATGGTTGTAACAGCAAGATTTCTATCACTTACTACAGACTGGGATGATCGGTGAAGTACACCAGTCTGACGGGAATACCTCTGATTCCCATACATTACGCAGTACCTCCATCACTTTAATTAGCAACTTTCTACTTCCATCCTTGAAAACTTCAGGTGGAAAACTGCCAGGTCCTGCAGCTTTGTATCGTTTTAACTTCGACATAGCTTTCTCAAATTCAGAAAGAGTTGAAGGGCCAACATTTACGTCCCATTCAGCCTCGGACTGGCCGGATGTTCAACAACTGGAGCATTGGTGAGGACCAGTTGAACTATGCCTTAAAGTGTTCTACCCAACGTTTTAGCTGCCTTTCCTGGGAGGTTATCAGCGCCTCATACCTTTTTGGTGATTTCACTCACCGTTGTCTTTTTCTTGCCGGTATCCTCAATAAGCCCAAATATTTGTCGAGTGTTAACCACCGTTGATGCCTTCCTTATCTCTTTCGTTTCGCCTTCCACTACTCCTCGTGGTTGACGCGAAAACCTCTTGGTCAATTTACGTTTAAGTCGCCTTCGTTCTTCATCATAGTCAGAGCTAGCTGGAGTCAGTCTTCTCGTACAAATCAGTTCGGATGACGTCACGGAATTCCAATGACGTTTGCTAGCCTTCGGTTTAGATCACCAATTGTCTTTACCGGTTCTTCCACAGCAGACTTAATATCACGCTAGTTTTCTTCAAGATGGCCACTGCTGTCACGTTCAGATAAATGCTTAGCTGTCTCTTCTTTAAATGCGCACTTGGCGTCCTCATCTACCAATCGACAACATATGGGACTCTGCCTTCGGTTTCCTGCAGCCAGTAAGGCGCAGACATATATGAGCTGTTACTAGCGCGTGATCGGAGTCCAAACTGACACTCCAGAATGAACGACAATCCTCCATCGATCCTCTCTAACGATGCCCTATAGCAATGTGACCTATCTGTGTCCATAGGTTTGAAGTCAGCGGACGCCACGTGAGACAGGATCTCCCCTTTACCTAAAGTAAATGCTAGCCAAAAACAAGTGATTTTTGGAGCAAAATGGCAACAGGCGATCACCGTTGTCGGTTTGTTGGCATGGGATACCTCAAAGATGCCTTTCTAATTGTTTCAGCTCACCTTTCCTACTTGAGCGTTAAAGTCACCTACCATTATGATTACATCTGAACGTTTTGTTTTCTGTGACAAAATTGACAGCTTTTCTTAGAACTCATCCTTTGTACCATCTGAACTGCAGTCAGTTGGCGCGTGGGCGGAGATTATGGATAGGCACCGGGTAGTTTCACGTTCCTTCCAAGTCCTTGCAGATTTATTCGATCGAACAGCACACAGACGGCTATTGACTTGTATCCAGTCGAAAAGTGCACTTTCTGATCTACAACTCCATGCTATGCCTACATCCAGTTCACGAGAACTAGATGAATTTTTATTATTCACTACTCTGGCCACGTGAGGTGAATTCAATAACCACACTCGGGTCCTGTATGTGTCACAAAGACAGCACACATCTACGGTCGTTCTTGTGAGTGATGCTTGCTGTCCGATTCGGCATAGAGTTAGGGTGTGGAAAGCTTACAAATGAAATCGATGGTGGGGTCCCAGGAGATTAAGAGTGAGGTTTTGATGGCTTTCATCGTTGGCAATGGTTGCACAGTGAGAAGTTGGGTAAGGCGTATAAGATCTAATGTCAGTATCAGGAGGTGAAGGCAAAGGAGAATACAGAGTTGAGAAAGATAGGTTGTTTGTGTCTTGTGTACTACGGGAAGCGTGCGGGCGCTTGACACTTCCCAGCTGCCTATACCGTGCCGTGGAAGGCTATTTCTTAAGATACCTGATAGATAAGATTTGTGTGACCTGAGAGCCGTCGGACATCTGCTTGAGGCCTGTCACACACGAACTTTTGTGGAATGTTGTTTTGAGGTTGTGCTGTTCTAACGCCGAATAGAAAGAACCCATACCACCGGCACCGAAACACCGTGGGGCTGGATGGAGTGTGCTGTTATGGGAGCTGACCATTTTAACTCCTCTCCTTCCGTTGAGAAGGCGGTATCGGCGTGGTACTGCTTATCATGCAAGGGATATACCTATCTGCTGTCAAACACCGTCGAGCTAGCAGCTGTACGACTTCCCCATCAGACCCCACTACAGTGTACTAATTTACACTATAATGGTAACTGGTTTTCGTCTTACAACTATCCAGCAGACTTTGTTGGCATGGTAGGACCTCGAGAGAACAAGCGTTCCATCAGCACAACTCATTGGATCACTGTGATATGCGACCCCAACCACCACGCCAAGGTAGCAGCTATGGGTCGGGGATAAAGCATGCGCCAGATAGGCAATTACTTGCAACTTAACGTTATGGTGATAGCCATGATAAAAGAAATTAACAATTGTCATAACTTACTTGTTTTACGAGTGGAGAATCAGTTATCCTGAGATTATCACACTCCAAGGTTTTATCACACAGCTTTATACTCCTATTTGAATCCCCAATAGACGATGTAGGTGATGTTAAAGTTCCATTATACGAAGAACCTAATGACAACGAATGACCGAGAATCCCATCAGACACAATACATGAGTCACCATCTTCTCCATTTCCAAGATCACCTCCATCGAATGACCTAACAGAGTTATTAATATCAGTATCTAAAGCATCCTCCGGATGGAAAGGGCAGAGCTCAGATACATTTGGAGATGAAGACTTATTTCTTGTATCATTTTCTAATTTAATTCTGTTTGCTTCTGTTGGACAATCTGGTTTTTTCAAACAGTCTTTAAACCGTATGGAAGAGGGGGAACAAACAGATTCACATACACTGTGATTATCACTCAGAGACTGTGAAAGTTTTGTGCTACGATTTTTTTTATTTTGAGAACTCTTAACAATTGTAGTGGACGAAGAAGCAGTAGGTGATATCACAGAGCTATCCGCAGTTGATGAAACTGAACACGTCGATGATGAATTATGCAGATGAGAATCACTCTTAGATGGGATATGTTCAAGATTCTTGGACTTTACAAGCGAAGAACGACGTGAGTTCACTTGATTAGGCTGGAAATATCAACAAATGAAAATGATCATCAACAAACCGTACAAAATGCATGAATAATCTACAGACAATGAAAAACACCAATCAGTATTGTATAGTGAAAATGAAACATTACACAGTCAGAAAACCTAACAGATTACATCAATTCTATTTATTATGAGGTGTATTTCAAGACATCGAATTTGCCACAGTTTAAGTGGCGAAAACACTAAATGTAACACAAAATGCAGGGGTAATACAAAAAAAATCAGAGAAACCATGTTCTGAAGTTGCAAGATGTGTGTTCAGTGATGCTTCTATTATATCGATCCGCATCAACACATGACCCAGTACTATTACTGAGAAACAGTTAATACACCACATTTTACAGCAGCCTATCAGGATACAAGGCGAAATGAACAAAAGTCAGAGGAAAAGGTGTGATATAACCAAAGGATGCATACGACCATAAAAAGGATAGTTAGGACAAATAATGAAATCTGACAACGTGAAGATAACATGAAGACATGAAGATAAGGTCTGAAAGTAACCGTACAGCTGCAGTCAACTCTCAGTTATGTCATGCAGTCTCCAACAATCGGTTTCTACTGTCTTGGATCCCAAACACAGAGCCAGTCCACAAGGTTCGAGTGAGAAGCCAGGTATTTCATGGAATTATACCACGATTAGTCTGACTACCATAAACTTTCTTCCATTCCGATCCTACTTCAGTCAACTTAGTTTACAACTATTGAGAAATACATTCCACATGCATACGAATAGTCAACCTTGAATTTCATATTTTATGATAAAGCTTGCAGATGGTTAAAGTTTAGTGTCAATAAAACAAACATGCAACGTGAGATTGTTATTCAGTTTCAGAATGAAAGCAGTTATGTTGACATTCCAGTCAGGTCGGCATAAAACAATGAACACCAATAACTGAGTCCCTTCTCCGTTCCTTCTAAGCGATCTCCCTCAGAAACACATACCTCATTGAGCCGTGAAAATCAGAAGACAAAAACCGACCTGTGACTGTAAGGAAGACTCTTCATTTGAGAAAAACACATCGTTTACGTACAGTTTTCACCAACTTATACAACCACTAGGTCAGAAGTTGGATACTCAATTTTGATTCGGCAATTGTAGGACAAAATTGACTAATGAGGTATTTTCATGACCACACCGTTACATGAAACAAAGGTTCAAATCCAAAACTTCTACCTTAGCGGCTGATGATTTCAATTTAGTCCGCTTCCTATCGTCGACTTCCACAATTTAGTAGAACTGTCCACAACAATGAGTTTCAAGACCAAGACCTTATACGGAGAGATATGAATAATTCAGCGCTAAGATCTCCGACTATAGCACGGCGCTGCGCAGATTCTAACTTCTCAGAAGGCATCATATTCCCCGGAGTTGAAGATACGCTACACAGATGAGCGCCAACAAAAACAGAACCTAGGTCTGGGGCTTCTTAATAATTGCCTGAAACCAACTCACATCAATAGAAAGGCACTGTGATGAAAAGTTTTCCAACCTGGTGAAAATATTGCAAAATAACCGAAAGAATCCTCTCAGCCCAAAGGACTAGAAAACAAGAAATCATTTGACACTCAAGCGACCAATCAAAGGATAGCTCCAAGTCTTAATGAGAAGAAAGCGCACCAGTTGACTGGATCCAAGTTGACGGTCATCTGTATCATATTCAACTGAGTGCTGACGTGAAAAGTGAATACTGAACGATGCCGTAGTCCCTGATTACGTATCCATGGAATGAGGTTCGGATAGAATGAAACATAAATCCTACCGAAAACTGCCCAGCTACCTACTGAAATTCAAACGTTCAGACGTCGTTCTACTGCTTCTGATGGTCGGGTTTATGCTGATGCAGTACACTCTCTTCTACTGTATGCTTGTGAAACGTGACCATAAAAGGTAGAGGATATACAAAAGCTTCAGATATTTGAAAAATGTCGTCTTCGTAGCATACGTGGTGTGTCGTAGTGTCACCAAGTCAGTGACGTAGAAGTCGAGTGTAGCGTTCTATAGAGGATACGAAAGTCAATCGATTACACTGTGAATCTTCATCGACTGAGTGGCTAGGATATCGGTTATGCATGCCTAGTCAGCATCTGTTTCGTTCCATAATGTTAGCTGAAACAGGTTCATGTCGGACAGAGGTTACAGGCGACCAGTATGAATCTTGGCAATAGCCCATGAGGTATTTGACTATTCTTAGTCTTGTAGACAAATGTAGACTTTTCAGTCAGGGTGCACAATGGTGGTTGGGCAGTCTTCGTTATATCTCTTGCAATAGAGCTCAGTTATGGGGGTGCTTTCCCATATCATATTTATCTTAATCATCAGGTCGAATTTCGTTATTCTGTTATCCCCTTTTCTCTTTCTTTACGACTTTCTACTATTTTTGATCACTTCCTTCCTTACTTCCTTCACCTTGCTGCCTTTTATTTTGGTGTGCTGCTAATAGGTGGCAACTTGGACTACCACACACTAATGTTAGGTCGCATGTTGATGCTGACTCACCGACTTTATCGGGTAATATTCTTCCCTAATAACCACATAAAAATTAAAACAACTGGTCCCTTGGATAAATTTAAACAGCGTAATGAGGAGACGCTGTTCAAACATAAAAATTAGTTTGGTCAACACACACTTTTTAGGCTTTTAGGTTTCATGATCATCTGATGTCGATCTGAAGGTCAGGAACAGAAAAACTCAACATATCAAGTATTTTGCAAATCTGACCATGGGTGTGGTGATGAAACCTTCGCCACATGCCAGTTCTTGAAACACAGACATACTTACCGGCACTCCATATCAGTCAGACTTTTCAACCTGAAGGTGATATTAGCGTCCATCAATTGGGAGGTTACATAGCCGTTTCTGATAGAGCATCCCTGTCGTCACACTGAACACTTTATACCGAAATAATCATCGCTGTGTCATTTTTCTACGGCAATTTACCGGGCAAGTAGTCTACGTTAAGTGGTATTCGTTTAGGATTGTCACTTTTTCACTTCATGATAAACATGCTTACGAAAGTTTCTTTTCTTTCTTTTGACATTACACGGATTGATCCATTAGCAGATACCTTAGTCGATTTAGAGTGTACAGACAAAATATTCTTGTTGGAAGAAGAGACTGATGAGATACTGTCTTACGAACAGTGGGGATAATTTGGGAATGTTTGGGATTAATTTCCTGCCCCCAGAATGAAAACTGTTGCTTCTGATACATCCTGGTTATATATGTATGTAGATTCTCAAAAAATAAGCCTAGACGTCACCCTTGAAAGTGGTTCGATTTCTTAAAAACAGAAAGAAGCGACAAGATAAAACGTTTGATGTCAAGTCAAAACATGTACAAAAGGTAACGGTATACATATGCTTTTACGTAATTTCTCATGAATTCTCAAAATGCTGTGATTGGCTGAGACTTAACAGGGAATTCCAGGTTTCTTTGAAGAATCTAGGTAATAAATCACTCCATAACAGCTTCAAAACCGGTCTGCACCTTTACACCATCTGAAAACTTAGAGTGAAGTCGTATCAGTTATAAGTTGGTAACCAACGAAGTCTCAGCACGGATACAAAAGGTTTGACTGGTTTTTGCCAACTTACGACCCTATGACAGTAAAATGCCTGATTGTCTACTAAGGATCAAGTGTACTGTGCAGCAGTTTGTTGTCCTACTCCATGACTGTGAAATATGGCCACTAAAGGTGGGAGTGAAAATCCTTGAAGTATTTGACAACCACTGCTTTTGTATCGTATGTCATGTGTACTGGAGTCACCATGTCAATAACTCTGAAGTAGAGATTTAAGCAAAATATGTGAGTCAGTTGATAAGGCTGAAACGCTAATCAACTGACTTGCATGGGATATGTATTGAGTATGCATACTTACCATTTGTCTTAATGATCAACACTAGCAGAAGTTGGATAGGGTTGGAAAAAGGCTACGGATGGCTAAAGTAGATCATAGCACCAGTTAATAAAACCACTGACTGCTGGTCTGGAAATGGAGTCTCCCAATTTAGGGTCTGTGTAATGATAGAAACCGATTATTGGAGACTCCCAGCGATATGGCTCAGAATCAATGACAACAGTATAGATGCCTTCATATCTTGTTTCCAAATTAAATGCTATATCACCTTTTGTTATATGCTTCAGCCTCAAACTGGGAGGTCCCATCTTGCTTTGCACTTTGTTTGTGCCACTGCTTTGGAAATGCAGTGAACGAACTTAAGGCGATGAATACATCTCGTAATACGTGTCGATTTAATTTAGCAGACATATGAAAATTGCATGTAGAGATCTTAGAAACACAAAGACTTAATGAAACTGAAGTACTGTGATGAAGCGAAGAATCCTATCAGGTGCTTACTCCCTTGGATACATATGCCTTTATAGACAAGGATACAAAAATTCGGTCTCCTGAAGAACGCTGCTGTTGTAGGTCCCCATATACAGCTGGATATACAGTTTGAAGAGATTACGAGCACTAGTCTACAGATATGAACCATTAATGTCAGCTGCAATAGAGTAAACGGGCGACAGTCTGAGCAAGGAGTATAGATAGAAGTTAGTAGAAAAAGAATAAGCGGCGTGCAGTCTGAGAATTACTAGTATGAATTGCATGATACTGGAATTCGGGTAATCAATACTTCCTATCCAGTTGCAACTTAGGTTACATTAGTTTGATATACCGAGTAGAAAAAGTGAGCTTTAAAGGATTTATAGTAAATACCTTAAAGTACAACTTTACATAGGTGAACTTACTCGTGACACACATTTTCTTTCCTGAAGTTGGAGATTTTGTTGATCTGATAGTATATTAGTGTTAGTGAATGAAATATCACATATCAGTGTTAACGAGTTATGGCCTGAAATGATCCATACGTAACTGAGTTTATTTCACCTATGCTTTTATAATAATTAACAGTTATCATCTGAACCACGAACAGGTATTTTGGCTATTTTAAATATCACATCTGAGTG